TTCCTGGACTTGTAAGTCTATTTCTTTCCCCAGGTAGGGGAAGTTTTCTGTCATTATTTTTTCAAATAGATTTTCAATTTCTTGGTCTCTTTCTTCTTCTGGCACCCCAATAACATGAATGTTTGGCCTCTTGAAGTTGTCCCAGAGGCTCCTTAAACTATCTTCGTGGTTCTGGATTCTTTTTTGTTTTTGCTCTTCTGGTTGGGTGTTTTTTGTTTCCTCTTGTTTGAAATTACTGATTTGATTCTCAGCATCCTCTACTCTACTGTTGATTCCCTATAGATTATTCTTTATTTCAGTTCGTGTAGGCTTCATTTCAAATTGGTACTTTATTATGTTATCGATTTCCTCAGTTGTTTTCGTAATAATATGCTTAAGCATCCTTATAAACAACGTTCTGAACTCTGTCTCTGTTAGCTTGCTTGGATCTATTTCATTTAGTTCCTCTTCTAGAGATTTCTTCTGTTCTTTCCTTTGTGACATGTTTCTTTGCCACCATATTTTGGCTGCTTCCAGGTGTTTGTTTCTATGCATTAGGTAGAGCTGCTATGTCTCCTGGAATTTGTAGAGTGGTTTTATGTAGGGTCCAGTGGCTCAGCCTTCCCAGTCACCGGAGCTCGGCCTTCTGGGTGCTCCCCTGTGTGGGCTGTGTGCACTGTCCTGCTGTAGTTGAGCCTTGGTTGCTGTTGACGTCACTGGGAGGAATTGACCCCCAGACCAGTCAGCCGTGAGGACCAACTGCAACTACAGCCAAAGAGCTGCTCTAGTGGAGACACCCCTATGGAGCAGGATTTACTTCAGTGGAGCTTTTGTGTTCACCAAGTGCGCCCATTGAGTGTGTCACTCGTGGGTGTGGTAGGGTTGTAATCCAGCATGGTTGAGTCTGACCACCAGGTACACTGTCTCTGGGGCCTTCCTGGAGGTGCAAAGTCAGCCTGTGCCAGTGCCTTGCCCAGGGCCTCCCAGCATGAGCTACATAGCAAACTCTAGTTGGCTGCTACTTGTGCTGGGCTTGGCATTGTCCAGGAGAGGCCAAACTATGAACCAATGCAAGCTGTCGCTAGTGCCACGCCTAGGGCCCCTTATCAAGACATATGGGACACACTGCTGCTTGTTTGAGAGATTTTAGGAAAGTCCTAAGCATGAGGCTCAAGAGGCCACTTGCACAGAAAAGCCCCTGGAAATGGCCTGGATGAGCTTGCAGGTGGGGAGGGGTGGGGCCTCTGGGAATCAACAGGGCAGGGCCGAAGGTGGGAGTCAGATGCTGGCGATTCAAATATGGCGCCTGCCTTCCCGCTGTGTGAGGGGAGGTCTCACCAAAGGAGCAATGGCCTCTGCCAACTCTTCTGCCTGGGAGAAAGCTGCCCTTCCACCTCTCGCCCCAATTTCGGTCAGGTTCATTCCTCCCCAAGTGCCCCAGGTTCCTTTCAAGCTGCTGTCTGGCTCTGGGGCCCAGAGGGAGCGCGTCTGAGTGAGTCTCTGTGTGGGCCCTTTAAAAGGAAAGTCTGGGACTCCTGAAGCCTCGAGTCCCTCAGTGACAGTCCCCACTGGTTTTCACAGCCCTAAGTTGTGGGGATTTCTCTTCCTGGCCCTGGAGCCCTGGGATGGGGGCCTGATGTGGGGCCCGCACTCCTCCGGAAACCTCCGCCACAGAGATGTCTCTCCCGGGTTTCAACCGTGGCACCTGGTGTGGGCCCATGACTGAGTCTCTGCTATTCAGCCCCTATCCTCCTGGGTCTGCACCCCTCCTACCGGTCTCGATGCTTTTTCAGTTCCCTGGTTTTAGGGCTTCTGTTCAGCTAGATCTCAGGAGGTTCTGAGTGATGGTGGTACTCTGTTTTAGTTGTAATTGTGATGTGGTTGTGGGAGGCGGCGGGTACAGCTGTTACCTACGCTGCCATCTTGATTCCTCTTCCGACATTTAATTTTCTTAAAGTATAATAACCTGAGTTAATAGCCCCTTTGAGAAAACTTCCATGAAAGGCCAAATGAATTATAGTCTCAATACAGACCATTACAGTATTTCTCCTGAAATGTCACCCAACTGTATCACTTACATTTCTGTTATATATTCTAAAAATTCTTTTGTTTCTATAGTTCAATCCTTTTAGACTCTACTTAATTTTAAGAAGTTTACTTAAATTTTGCTTTTAATACTAGCAATAGTTTGATGTTAATTTTAGTAATGATAATTTGTAACATTTGCATAATTAATGTCATAAGAGACCAACTTTTAATGTATTTCAAAGAAATTAAAATCTATACACTGTTGTAAGGCATAAAAAAATGGAGCACATGAACTCACAATCCACAGAATGGGAGAAAATACTTGCAAATCATGTATCTGATAAGGGATTAATATCCAGAATACATAAAGAACTCCTACAACTCAACAACAAAAATCCCAAACAACCCAATTTAAAAATTGGCAAAGGACTTCAATAGACATTTTCCCAAAGAAGATATATGAATGGCCAATAAGCACATGAAAGTCTGCTATATATCATTGCTAGTTATTATGGAAATGCAAATCAAAATTTTGAGATACATTTCACACCTGATAGGATGACTATAGAAAGAATAAGAAAAAGAACAAGTATTGGCATGGATATGGAGAAATTACCCTGGTGCATTGCTGGTGGGAATGTAGAATGGTGCAGCTGCTGTGGAATTAGCAGTGTGGCAGTTACTCATAGTGAAACATAGATTTACCATATGATCCAGCAATTC